TTTGTAATATTATATAAATAATCTTCCCAGAGAATACTTGAATTTTAGTAGTTAATACAAGTTTGAATATCAGACATTACGGAAGTGTAAAAGTATGATACTATCATACTTGTCTAAGGTTGGTATTTGTGGTGTGCATTTTATTTTTATTTGTGTAAATATTGCTAGATTTGGGCACATTTAAAATTCTTAGTTTGATTAAGTTATTTGCTTGATAAATTAAGGAATTTTCATTGTGAGTTAAACTGTGACCATTGTGCATTACAGAACAAGATGTGATTAAAAATACTTTTCCAATTAGATCATTATAGAAAGCTGCATATTTTATGACGGTTGAGTTCTAAATAGTTCACAAGTACGTCTCTGATTATGACAATAAATGTAAAGAGTTCGCGTACTTTACATCTCATGAATTCCTGGTTAACCCCTTGTCATCTAACAAAGAACTTGGACCCACTAGATCCTACCGACTACTTCAAACTATCTTACTCCTCATTGGCTATACTTAACACATATATACGTAATCTAAACAAACGGTATAGATTTTACACTTATTACTTATCAAGAAAATAAACAATACTTCTAAGTAAATTTGGATAGCACTATTTAATTGTTACTCTTTTTAGATCTTGAAACTTAACTTACTCTTTATACTTTTAAAACGCCAAATAGCATCGATTTATCGTAAATTAATTAAATTCTTTTACAAGTATCAAACTGAATATTCTATTATCACTCTTTTTAGTTTATTCATTAATACTTAATAAAAGCGCTTCAAAAATTAACAATCCCAGAGACCTGTATATTTTACTAAAACAACTGTATTGAGACCCTTCATCTAGAGAAGATATGTATAAAAAATGGTAATTAAAGTGGACTTAGACCAATTAAAACCTTGAATTATGTCTGCAATAAATCAATTAATTCATCACAATGTATTGATTACCTTTCACATGACTATAAACTAGTGTATAGATCTAAGGAACGGTGTTAAAATATTGACGAAATAGTATCTTTTCATTACAGCATGGTTCCTTAATCTATTCATTCTTATTCAACTTTCCCATCGATGATATTCTGGAAACAGCTTTGATTGGAGTAGATAGTGGTGATATGAAAGACTTTTCGATCAAAAATATTCAAATCATACTGTCTTGCTTTGCAATGATACAGTCTATGCAATCTATACTTAATCAGTCGGTAGTCTGTATCCGTTTGTGTAGCATGTACTTTACACTGAAGGACAAAGTATTTCTACACGTTTGAGTGAAGCCTGTGACTGCACTTATACTTGGGGGTGAGCCGTAAGGAGTAGTCGAGAAGTTTGTACATCTAGACATCTGTGTCGGTGCTTAATGTAGCGTGAGTGATCAGATCAGTTTACATATGGTAGATGTCAGAATAGCTTATGACAACCTTAGCCATCTTCAGCGCTATCATCTAGCTGCAAAAGACCGAATTTAAAAAGTATCAATCAAAGGAGTCTTGTTCTGTTTGGGAAACCTGGTCTCTTCGAGTTGAAAATGTTTAATGACTCTGTGTTTGGACATCGTTGTAATCAAAGAATTGTTAAAATTCAGTGGCAACAATATGTTAGTGACGCTGAGACTCTGCAATCTGTGTTCCAGGACAGCGGATATGATTCATTTGTTATCATCATCTTGGAACACTGCCTCTGTTGCTTAGACATCTACCACAAATCTCATCCGAGCAACTTCCACATCTTGCTTTATTTCCTGACATTGGAAATAGCTGGAAAAAGAAAAGATGTGGTCAGTTTGTAATACGGGAGAACGCTGCTTAGAACTGGCATCTAATCGTACATCACGACTTGCTGGTTGTGGTCTTAGAGATGAGCACCCCATTGGCTTGAGACTTTATCAGACATGGCTCAGAATAGAAGCTGATGACAATCCTGCTATACTTTTCTCTCCTTTCTCCTAATAGTGAGAGAATGAGGAAGGTTTTATTCTTCCTAATTAAAGTATTTCAGATACAGATAAGATAGAATAATGTATTTAGATCCATTAGAAATATTGAAATTACTCGATTAAATTAATAATATTTATTTGCATTACAGATCTATCAATGAAGAACTGTTAGGACCTATGGAAATGTGTCTGTTTTTGCTTTGGAAACTCTAGAAAAAAGATCCCAACGTTAAATCCATATGAGGTAAACTCAGGACCATCAGGTATATCAACACTAACGATATTGTCCAATCGCTTATTCAACGGGCAATAATTTTACCCAACCGATTTCTATCTAGTTTTGAAATGTATTCATCAAGATTCTAGTGTTACACTATTCTAAAATCACTCAAAAATCTGTAAGACCATTTAAGTGAATAAAGCTCGATTCTCATTAATGACTGAATTTGATGTAGATGCTGTGCTCTTAAGAACCGATATAGACTATGAATGTGAACAGATACTCATCAATTAAATTAAGTAATATTCCTGATATAATATTGTTTGACGCAAATGGAAAATGTACAACAGTGGATTCTGACTGGAATGCTTTATGATCACCTCCCCACTGGCTGGTTCATCACTCTTGAAGTCAGTATAGTACTTTGTTGGAGTTACACACTATGGAGGAACTCTTAATGATTGTTCGTATAACTAATTTTCAAAACTTCACTCAACTAGTTTCCTGCTAGGGTTTGAGAGGAAATCTCAGTACTGGTATGAGTAATAGAGAAAAAACTCCAAGGACGATAAATTTCACACAAATTCCTATTAAGTGATCTATTTACCAATAACTATGGATAACTTGTAAACGCCGACAGCTGAATTCTCTTAGGGATATTCTTCTCAAACCTGCCTTAATAAGAGCATTACTCTCTCACTGAAAGCACTTCAAGGATATTTCTGAAGACAAAAGAACAAATGTTCTTTACTGGCTGTATTTCATTAAAGTGAAATTAAGAGCTGTAGACACTCATGCATAAAATAAGTCAGTCCTTCATGAATGTTATAGAAATTTGGGATTTGTTCCTCTTACACCATATTGAAATAGTCAACTGAAAATTGTGCAAATTGAAATATACTACTTAAGTAAACACTTTCATTATAAGAAAATGTTCTTATACACGAGAAAGGGCTAAGAAATTATTGATAAATTTGGGGCAGACAATTTGAAAGAACAAAAGTATGATTACGTTACATTAATGAGGTTTTTAGTAATTACCGATTTCCTCTAGGAATGTCAACCTCCCTCACATTTATTATAGTTGGTCGAAATATCGCAGTTTGTGATGCAGACAGAATTTTACTGGTCAATGAAATAAAAATTTCCACTGACATAGTTTAGGGAGTTCATAATAACTTCATCTGGCCGACAATATGGCAGAATTATATTCTTTATAAGTTATGGATATTCAGTATAATGTTCACATTCCCAAGTAGATTGGATCATAATCATTGTATGTATTGTGTTTAAAATTCCGTTGTTTTTCCCTATGTACTATATCTTCCAGCATTTCATTTCAATACAGACAATTGATTGCATTTCACATACGATAATAGTAAAACTCAGAAACCATGATCAAACTAGTAGGTATAGAAATGAAATCAGGTCGAATTTAGTTAAACATAAAATCAGATGAATCAATGATGATGTAATAGTTGTTATTATATATTGGAATGAGTAAATCTACTCCTTTATTTCAGGGATAATGTTTTAGCCGCTATTTTTGTCTATCGTATGCATTACAAAAATAGATTTACTCAATACGTTCAAAATCGGTACATGAGATTCTTTAAGTCCAGTGTTCGATCATTTACTGTGGTATCTACTTGAATGTACGCATGAAAACTTTACTACTGTTTCACAAAAGATCCACATGGAATGGTAAAAATAGTTGGAACAAAGAACGTGTTATTCTAAGGAAATATATACGTTAAACAGAGATGAATCGTGACTAGCATTGGAATTCAAGATGTGCGTTTCGACCCATTTGGAACTCGTCGCTGTATGTATTTGGATCCCAGGGTTGATATTCACCCCAGGACTCCAAGCCAGTACCGTTCGCTTCAAACTCGATCGTGTTACCCGTTTAGCTACTGAGCCCAGATAGCCACTGGCTTGATCTTTCTATTAACTTAAAGGTATATTTAACTAAATAGTCTCAAATAGAGAGAAAGGCGCGCCCTGCATTACAATGCTAACCACCACCCATCTTTGCTTAAAATGCTAGCAACTTAATAATAACATTGAGGCAGTCCTCACAAGATTCACATATACCAAAAGACACTGATCAATGGGAAGATCTAAACAACCAATATATATAAATTAAAAAGTATATCCATTATGATTCTTTGGTTTTTGAACTGCAAGACAAAATATTTACCACATTGAAAATATATTGATAATGGACTATCAAATGTAAAAACGGATCACTTTCGAATACTGAATAGCGTAATATAGTAAAACATATGGCTTTCTGGTAAGAAATTTCTTTTTCATTATCAAATATCAAGATAAACTAGGCAATTCAGTCTAACAAAATTAACAAATCAATATTGCAAACTATAACTAACAACTGATAATCGTTAATTAAATAAGTAAATCCTGTAACCTATTTAATAATAGCTGGATGCTTTAAGTGACCGCGCGTAAACATTCATACAAACCAAAATATATTCAACTGATAAAGTCCAAATGAAACGAAACACGTTTAAGATACCATTGTTAATCACTAGTATAAATGACAAACTACTATTTCTTCTCACAGTTCATACAGATTTGTGCCTAGCAGTGGAATTCTGGTTACGTTATTCATCCTATTTCGAACTCGTCAGTTAGAGATAACTGCATTCCAGTGATTTTCCCACAGTTATATATACAATTAAAATTTAATTATCTAAATATGGATATTTAATCAATAATCTCAGGTTTTGAAAAAGTAACCATTTCAATTCATCAGTCAATCATTTACTGTATTCATGTTATCTAGAAAATAAATTCACTATAAATATGCAACAGATACATTTTATAAACTGTGACTAAATATACAAAATGTCTATGATATTCACATGATAATAACTGAAGTAATCCTTATTTCACGCAAATTTAATATTTTACACCTACATACAATCATTCATACAATACAATAACAATAAAAATACAAGGATAACCACCCATTTTTTAAAATGTTCAATGAAAGTGTAATATTCAACATTTTTCTATTTATTTATTGAGTGTTGCACATAACAGTAAGATTTTCACTTCACTAGTCACTGTGTCTCACTAGAACTCTCAGAAATCATCTTGAAGCCAATCACTAGTGAGCACATGATGATTATGATCAGAATGGTGTATGTGGAGATTTCAATAGTTGGATTCATGAGTCGATATAAACTAGATCACTATTCAAGACCTGGAAGAATTGGACGGCCGTTTTATCTTAGTATGGGACTCCTGAACAGTGCGCAACCATTCATGGGTCGATTGGTGTTAGACATCAACACCATTGGATGCCGACTCATTGGTCTAGAGGTTAAGCATTTACGCGCGAGAACGAAAATCCTGGGTCCAATTGATCGCAGAAATTTGGATTCTCATTTAAGTTGTGGCGGATGTGATGCTTGTATGGACTAATGACTTCTTTGTACTTGTTGACTGCCTGATTTCGAATTTTAAATACAATACGTTCGTTCGCGTTTATCTAGTACTTCTTGGTTAAATTGCGTTATTTCTGGAATCCTCAGTTTGTATTACAATTCAAATATTTCAAACTATCACACTAACTTATACAGGAAATTATCACTCTGGATATTTTTGTGAACATAATACTAATTATTGATCTATACAAATACCCTAATTTCGTGTAGAGATCTACATCAAATCTACTATTTAATCAATAAATTTTTTTTAAATAGTTGAGATCATGAGTCAATTGAAGCTAGACGACCGTGAAAAACTCGGAAGCACTGGTTCCATCCTATTGTGGGACTCCTCAGCAGTGCGCACGAACGATCCCGCCTCGCGAGATTCGAACCCAGGACCTTCAGTCTCGCGTGCGAACGATTAGCCTCTAGTGATAAGCAGTGACCAGTGGAATTAAACCAGGTCTATTGTGAGATAGTAACTCACTGATGACAATGGTGGATATGTCGCTCGATTTCGTGGATTTGTTAAAGTTAGACATTAACACCGCTGGATGCCGGCCGCATCAGTGGCCCGGTTTTCCGTGGTTGTCTTGCTTCAATCGATTTATAATCCCAACTATTAGAGTATAAATAAAACAGGAACAAGGTTTGCAGAATCACATGAATTCCTTATATTCCAAGTTTTCGCATCAGATAGAGTCTAAAATCAGATAAGGAATATTGTTTCAAAGTTTTACATATCGTAATCAATGCAATCTAATTTTTATAACAAAGCTACTGATGTAAATTTAGGCCATTTTCAGCTTACAAGTAGCCTTGAAACTAAAAATTTCTTTACGTTAACAAATAGAATAATGTTATGGTTTTAGAAATTTTTACATCAATGAAATCCTCCGATTAATCCATTCACAAATACATTTAACTTGTGAATGTTGTATATGTTTGTTCAACGTTTTCTATTTCGAAGATTATAATATTTTCTTTTAGAATTTAGGCATGAAGTATGTTAGTAAATTGTTATATGCCTATTTAATTTCGTAACAACTACTAGGTCACTTTCAATATGAAATATTTAAATGTATATCACATTTTTTGGAATTTATGACCACTAGAGTAAGGAAACTACAAGATATGAAAAAAGAAACTAGTTAGCCAGTTTTTAAGGTGAAGGACAAAAAAGATTTAACAAATTTGTCGTTAATATCTACTGCTTGTCAGTTCATAGAAATTGTTTTATTTCGACTAAAATAATTCATCAAATGAAAAAAAAATTCTGAATAAATCAGTTACCTGATAACTTATCGATTTACCTGTCAGTGAGTTAATTGCAATTATCAACGATAAACATTAAAAATAACACATAGGCCATTTTAAGTAATTGCTAACATTTAAATAGTGAAATATGTTATTAGCTACATATAATTGTTAATAGTTCTTTTAGGATTAGATCACAAAGCGTCGTTGGTAGTAGTTCCGTTTTATGCCTATGGAAGTTGAACTTCCTAGGCTGAGGATATTCAGCGACTTTCAATTTGATTATCGTTGTCGACAAAAATGTGCTGATATCCGGAGGCAACACGATGTTAGCAATGCCGAGGTTTGAATATGTATATTCGGGAGTATTGGCGATAACTGAATTTGTGTCACCACCTTGAAACATTGGTTCAGTGGTTTGGAGGCATTTTACTGATGTCATATCAGCGTTTTCCGTATCAAGTATTTAATGATGATACTAGGACAGCGTAGAGAAGAAGAGGTTGTCATTTTATGACATGGTGATGTGATATGGAAAAAAGCTATATATAACTAGTGTCTGTCAACTTATTATGAATCGCTGATTGTGGTCCTGGAGGTGGTGCCACCCAATGGTTTCGAACGTTGTCAGAAATATCTCGAAATAGAGGACAGTTTGAACCCTGCTGTAGCCTAATTTAAATTCTCCACAAAAGTGAGGAGGACACCGTCGAGTAAACCAGGTCTTTCTTAGTTGTATTTCCAACTGAATTATATTTCCTGTTCTTGTTTACTCATTTTTTTGGATAGTCTCTTTCTCTCCTTTATTTTCCCATAATATCTCTTTATTTAGTGTGGTGCATACTACTTTTGGTCACAAGTTGTACAAGTTTTTATGTATGCTAAGTATAAAACTATCAAAACACATTAAGAATAAACTCTTACACCAAGGTACAGTTTAAATCTCTAGCACTAAATATATAAGAAATACACATTAACATCAAAAGTTATTTTAGCTGATGAATAGTATCAGTGGGAACCAAACATGTGAATCTATTGTTGTAATAAAAAAAGAAGTTATATTTTTCAATCCTGTCTCATTAAAAAGATACACACATTAAATGTTTACATTTGTATAGACGTCCATCACTAAAAATTAGTTATATATACCATAGGTAAACGGGAAAATAATCACAGCCTTTAATAACAAACAATGCAAGAAGAAAATAGTACTTACACTAACGAAAAATAAATAAATAAATAAACAGTTTAAACAATCATAATGAGGAATGAAAATAAGACAAATTTGAAAACTGTATGGTGAAGGATAAAATTAACTAAGATGAGGACAATAACAATAACAACAACCAAAAGGAATTGTTCCTTCATGGCACAAACAAACAAATACATTAATTTTACATAATTCATTTCAGTAGAGAGCAAAAATACTAGACCGAATACCTTGTAAACATACTAAAATAATACTGGTATTCACAATACATTATTATGATGTAAAAAGAATACAGTGCTGACTGTGCAGTAAAACAATACATAATCACGCAATTTAGACTGAATGTAAAGGTCGTAGAGTTAATGCTATTCTTTGTATTTCATTTAAACTAAGAACAACATTTTGTTCAACAACACAAAAACGAAAAAAATAAAATGAATAAATAAATAATTAAATAAGAAAAGAATGCTGTTTCAACAAACGGTACGCACACACACACACATGCATGTATACATTCAGAGATTTGTCGTCATGGCAAAAACAGATAGGTAGATTAGGTTGTAAAACAGAAACACAAGGTCTAACAACAAAAGGCATAATTAAAGGTGAGAAATCAATAAACTATCTGAATTACGTCATAGAATATCAATAAAAATAAAGAAAAAAAAGAGAAAATAAAACGTAATTGGAAAGTGAAGTGATCATTAATTACATTTGCTGTACAGACAAGCTATACATTGAGAGATCTCGCTCTCTCTCACAGACATACAAATATATCCTCACCCCTTCCCTCTCTACAAATATGTACTATTAGTAAAAGAAATACATATTTAATCTATTCAGTGGTAACAGTGCATTCTATTATCCACTAATAACTTTCTTATATTATTCTCCGTGTTTATGAATAACACAAAAGACAGATGTGAAAATAAAAGCGGATAAACATCAACGCACATGCACGCGCACATTTATAAACACACACAAACACACCTGAAAGACAGTATATTGGAATAAGTCGATTCACGTGAATCGGTAAAACAAAATGTGTGTAGTATATATGAATATGTATGCAAGTGTATGTATCAATGCATTATTTGGATTCAACAGATGATTGACATTGTATCGGTGGTTCCTGACCCCCAACTGTAGTCATTGATGATACAGAAGCTCTACGAATATTTGATGATGTAAATGGTTTACTTTTTGCAATACGTTCAGCTGAATCTGGATTCAATGTACCTAATGATGTAATAATACCAGATGTGGATGTGTTTACATTTTCTAGGTGTGTTGATTCTTCCGTTGTTGTTGTTGTGATCGATTTTCCCGTAGTTCCAACTAATGTTCCTGGTGTAGTCTCTGATTCATCATTTAATCCATATAATGAATGATCAACTTCACCATTTTCAGATAGAATAAGCCAACATGTACGATTACGTTTACAGCCTTTTAGTAATGGTTCGAAATTTGGAGAAACTTGTACAATAGCCTGTTTTTCAAAAAAAAATTTGGACATAATTTTGATTTGAAAAAAAGAGCAAAACAAATAAACAACATTACTGTTGTACGTTGTATGGAATTGAACACTTTTATTATAATATAGCTTAATAAATAAGGTTGTAATATCGTATAATCAATCCCTTTATTTATTATGAAACTGGTATAGATTAGAAATGAAAATCAGAATACAATGGTATATGATATTATTTTATTCAATATTATTTAGATATTTTCAGTTTACAATAATAAAAAAACATAAACAGTACTCAGTAGATTGGAAAAAGTGTAGAGATGACCAAAATAACGTTTGTCATCAGATTATGAAGTTATAGACTGTGAGACTAAGATGTATAAGACAGATCATAGACTGTCTGGTCGGAATCAATGACATTGTTATGAAAAATGATTGGATATTTCCAATAACATGCCTTGGAACCGATCACAATGGTATGGATGATAATTACCCTTGAGTCTTGAATCTTAAAGTTGTCTCATTTCTTTTTTTATATCATACTTTCTATGTCTATCAGTGATACTACTATTAATCTTACTATTCAGGGATTTGTTTTTACAATTTTATGTTTCAATGCTGATAAAGTGTGACAACTTAACCTGATGACATTAACACCGTCGGATGCCGGCTCAGTGGTCTGGAAGTTAAGCGTTCGCGTACGAAACCGACAGGTCCTGGGTTCGAGTCTCGCGGGACAGGATCGTGCGTGTGCACTTCTGAAGAGTCCCGTACCAGGGCAAAACGGCCGTCCAGTGCTTTCAGGTTTTCTATGGTGATCTAGCTTTATTGACTCATGAACTGAACTAAAAAATTACTAAAATCTCCACAAAACCGCCTTCTGATGAATATTTGTTCAAAGTTCTATGTTGCTTAAAATTGACTGATTAGACAATATTGTGGTTCTCAAGGCAATATTACCTTGACATTGACTTACTTCGACAATACATTTTAGACTTATCACAATCTTAATTACATTCAAACGGTTAACTCGACTGGTTTTAATTCATGATAAATATAATCAAATAATTATAGACTAAATCAGTTTATTAAAATTTTTCGAACGAACGTTCACTTCAGATCATGTTTATACAAGGATTAAGTCAAATCATAATTATATCAAAATGATTAATGGAAACATAAAATTAATGATGGAATGTAACTATATAAGGAATACTTTTTAATAAACAAAAAAGTCAAACATTTACCTCGTAAATCGGCATACAAATTGAGTCGATGAAGCTGACTTGTAGTTTTGGAAGTTCATTACTACGTTCACGATCCATTAATGCCTTGATATTAAAGTAGAAGGTGAAAGAGTACACTAACAGTATCACAAAAAAACTTAATAATCATACTATTTCGGAAAATTAAACATTATTTAGAATGAGGGAATCGAGGCTACCGATAGAATTCAGGAGGCGCGTTTCCTCCTATTTACGACTCATTAGCTAGATGTATCTGCAATTCAAAGTTGATGTTCACAATAGGACTCGAACGAAGTAACTTTCATACCAAACGCTAAAAGCTTTATTCACTGAACTATTAATTCTGGACGGCCATTGACTTGACCAACCAATAGGACGTTTTTATATCATAAAAATAATTTAGGATTGTTTTAACAGATACTAATGTTGTTTTCTATCTATCAATGTGACTGTTAATTTATCTGATCTATTTTAAATTTATCTAAATTTTTGTTGAATGTCACTTAACGTAAATTTCTCACAAGTTTGTCTGTGCTTTTACCTTAACGTTTGGTTATTTGACAGCTTATGTTTCTGCGTATATAATAAAGACAAACTTGTTTAATATAAACAAACTGAAATTGAAGATAGTTTTTGTCACTGAATAACATAAACAAGAATAACACAACAAAATAAAGAAGGATTGGACAGCTGGTTCGTTGTAGCACGTAACTTTTCACCAGTTTACTAGAAGGAAAGAACGGAAACAGAAAGAGGTTAGTATGGAAATACAGGGACACTGAGACGATTGACTGATATTTGCAAATGGAACAGTTTGAGATACTTGACTGACATTTTGCAAATCAGGTGTTCACTGTGTGGTTCTCAGATTTTACAAGATGTTCTGTAATTTTGTGTTCAAATACATTTGGTTGTCCCCACTAGTTTTTGCGTTCACTACACTAGTATACAAAACAAAGCATGTGATTTCTTTAAGTTATCGTTTTATTTTAACATTCAGTCTCTCTCATGAAAGTCTATCTCTGATAAGCTAACTCATAATTAATTGTTTTTATTTACTAAGATGGGTTTTTCTTGAAGACTTTTTTCGAATTGGATAGGTTTTTCAAAACGGAATGACATCGGTTAGAGGACTAGTAAAGGCTAAAATTCACTGAACAACTCAATTTACAAGTGGCATTACATATCCCAAAAGGAGTGAAGATAACCGGAATCAGTGCATTAGAATACAACTTATTCTCATAGTGGATTTCATTGAGTTTTCAACATTCTAATGTAAAATCGTTAGGGTGTATTGATGAAGCGTATCAGACTAAAATGAACCAATTATTTTTCTCCTTGGATTTTTGTGGTCTATCTCCTAACTTTAAGCAATCTTCAGTGAAAATCAATCTATCAATGAGCGAATGTAGAAAAACAACCTTCAAAAGAAAAAAACCACCATTCAATCTATTTAGACACTTAACGAAGTTAACTGATTCCTTATAGTAAATTTTTTATAAAGTATTTGGTTGAATTTACAGACTGAAATAATACGTAAACGGGATATAAATGGTAATTAACAAAACAAATCAAATTTATGGTAAATAGTACGCAACATTGGATTGAAGCCAAATCTTCGAAAAAAAAAGCTTAAAACTGTTATTAATTACCAATAAACAACAAGTTTCCAAATAATCCAATTCAAGGGAACAAGAGTATCCGTAATTATATATATAAGAAATTATTTGTACAGGAACAAAATAAGGCAAAATAAGTTAGTGACGTGATCCATTGAATAAACCACGCATTATTAACTAGTAACAAAGCGTAAATAAGCTGATGAAATTGATTAAACATTACCTACAAATAACAATGGTGAAGTAACCATAACCACGGTAACTATAATAATAATAATAGTGATAATAATAAGTCAATATAATACGAAAAATACATGGAAACGTGCATCATTATTACTGTTAAGAGTTTTTAACGTATTGAAAAATTATAAATAACCAAAAAATATAACTGAATTGAATAATAAACATGATTATGTAATTCAATGAGAAATAAGAATACTTGCAAAGAGTATGAATACAAAAAAACGAACAAAATGTTGAAAATAAAGTATGGTTGGATTAGGAAGGATGAAATAGTTATTCAGTGCTCATTGGATCTTATACGGTACCCCTTAACTGATATCATTTGGAGGTGAAAACTTCGGATTATTTAGACTTGATTTATGTATACAAAGAACTAAATCAAAGATGTAATTATTCGTTTATTAGTGACCAGCTTCAAAATAGGTTCACAAGCTTCTATTGATTGACAAATTCCTGTCATTGGTCGACTGTCGAAGATATCACGAAGTAACTGTGTTAAGTTTTTCGCTATCTGATCTAGATACCCTTATTTCGGACACTTGACCTCACTTGATCAGTCTCCAAAATCATAGTTCGTGATGAAAATTCGCTAAGAATCTGGCCTAGTTTTAACTAACGTTAACTAATTCATTAAGGAGTAAAATACAAATATTTTAGCGTATATAATTTGAGTGGTCGTCAAGCCATCACCACTATCTATACAAAATGTAACAACTAATCATTATTTTGTCAATTTACTACTCAAATGATATACTTGGATCTAGTCAACAACACATATAACTACCATTTGATACAGTTTGAAATCTTCTTTATGTACTTGCAAATGACACTTTCTAAATTCCATAATAATAATAATAAATAATCTATTTTGCATTATTCTAGTAAGAAAGTTAATTTTTTAACTGATGTATTACAATGAAACATTACCAAACCAATAACGGAATATCAATCATAACTGTAAATGAAAATACTACTTTTTATAACAAAAACTAACAAAAAAAACAAAGTTAGTTCTATAACAGTAGAACAATTCACTAGAATTGTTTAAAAAAAAGAAAAAAAATCACATTTTCCACTAAACAACATAATCCCAGCTAAAATTCTTTCACAAAACACGGTACAATAAATCGTTGAATTTGATCAATTACAAGTTTTATCACATTTACCGATCAGTGAATCTTTCTAGTAAATAAATGTTCCCTCCTTTTTTCTCTCATGTATTTAACTAAAACACATGTGACAATTCAATATCTGATAAGTCTCTATAAATAATATTTATTGTTATTGTGAATAACGAGCTATCTTTGTTCTTTTGTGCACAAAATCAAAATGAAACTACATGTGATTACTATTTATTAGAATCAATAATACTTATGCGGTGCATGCTACTAATGTTGACAGATATAAGTAGTATGTGGCACCGATCGGAAGTGCCTGGGAGCAGAGGATCCCAATGAAGATAACAGGAAGGAAATTCGAGAGAAATCGAAATAACAACAGAATTAGAGGAATAATGGAATATGTAAAGAACAACTGAAGATAGATGTGCGAATGATGTGTTTGATGTATGATTTTTATCCAATGTGTAATTTTGCGTTAAACAATAAAAGGGTTATCCCCACCAAGACTTCATTCACTTCGTGTCGTCATAAAAATAATTTATTTACAAGGTACAGATTCGTGTACTTGGTTTCAAGCTAAATTCAACTTGTAAGAATTAGTGATATCATTTTATTGCCTAAACTAAAGTAGGTGGGGTAAAGTTTGAAAATGGATATTAGTGACCAAAATGTGAACAGTTTAATCAGTTGGCTACCGCTCCACTCGGCATTTTCCACAAGCATAAATGATATATGATTCCTAAAGAAGATTACCTAAAAATGACAAACTATTTGTTACACCAAGAATTAATTCTTATTTGGTCGTTACAACTCACACGGAAAGAAAACGATTGCAGCATTAGTAAACAGAAGTTTTACTATACCAGTTAATTCCACACACACTGAAGGTATTATTTACATACAAATTGTTGACGATTACTATCGAAAAAAATCTCAAAAAATAACATTTAAGCATAATTTTTTAAAGAGAGCAAGAAGCAAGGTTGGTGGAGTGTTGTTATCTTAAAGTGATGTAGCTCAAATTTAAATATTAATGATACCAATATCGTAACCATACAGACGTTTAGTGTATTAGAATATTAGAATGTCGAGATTGATAAACTTTATAGTTTAAGTCACCGTCTGAGTTTATTTAGACAACCATTAAAAATCAGGGAAATATCAGAAATATAATTTTCCCACTCATTGGGATATAGCAAAATTACATTTATCATTAACTTTCTACCCAATGTTCAATTTATATGAAATTGTAAAAATTGTTGAATTTCATCAAAATCATGAATTGCTTAGTGTTTCTTGACAGACAGTTCCCATTTAAACATTAAAAATTAAAAACACGAAGTTCAGAGAAGGGATCTCTTTTCAACGAATTTATTATCAAGCTGTACAATCGTGATCAAAGCAGTTAGGAGTTCTATACTTGAACACCTAATCGACTGTAAACATTCTACGGATCCACAGTTTGATTTTAAGGTTGTTTATATGATTCGTTTAACTCCTAAAAATAGCCGAACCTTTTACCATCCATGAGCTCAAATCAGAAATATGCGCACAAAAGAAGTACGTCTTACCGTTAGCGTTACCTTGACCTTAATTAATATTATTATTATTTGATCATTATTATCACTGCATTCCCCTTTACTTAAGTCTTATATTCTCATTATTTTAATCATAAATACTCATCATATCACCTTATTTATTTTTATACTTCTATGACCTTTAATTATTGTGACAAAAACTTCTAATCATTTTAATCACCTTATTACATTCACTAAATCTATTGTTATTATTCGTATTACGTACGTATTATAATCTTCCTATTACATTATCTTGGTTATTTGTGCTCACATTTCTTCACGAAATTAGTACTTTAACAAAAAATTCTCATATCTATATACGATTGTACAGCTTGATAATAAATTCGTTGAAAAGAGATCCCTTCGCTGAACTTCGTGTTTGTAATTTTTAATGATCAGTATTAGACAACCATTAAAAACCTGAAAACACTAGAAGGCCGTTTAGTCTTAGTATGGAACTACTAAGAAGTGTGCATTCATGACCGTGCACACGAAAAACGAACCAAATGATTTTCATTCCTAACCCCTAGATGACTGAGACGGCATCCAAAGGTATGAATATATAAATTCAAACAATCCACGATATTGTGCAGCCATTGACCGGATTAAAATTCCTCTTGAAAGTCATTAGAAAATATTAATATCTAGATAGAAAAGTAAAAGATCTCATTGTCATTCTTTTCAGAAATCATATCACTAAATTATGACTAGTAGACAATTAACTTAAATTTTTTGTCCGGAACAATATTGATAAAAGCGGAGAGTAAGTGAAGAGAAAAACGTTTTTTCATGAAGTACAAAAAGAAACAAACGAAAAATACAACCTACAGCTGGTGTTACGTTCAGTCGTTCTTTTTCCAAATCACCTTGTTCAAAAAATTCATTGGCAACCATTTCAGCTGTCTGTTTATTAATTAAAATGAAAACAATAGAAAACATTATAGGAATAATATTAAGAGGAAAAAAATACGATATATAAGACGGTTAAATGTAGAATAGAAAATGAAAGTTTATATGTAAAGTTGATTACTAGTTGGACCATAGTTAGAAGAGTATATTTGGAAGACTCAGTGAATTGATATTTGTTAGGAGATTCAAATTAATATGAACTTTAGATGTGGGACTACGTGCTAATTCCCTCCACTATCTAGAATGAAACTAAACGTGAAATGTTATGTCAAGCTATCTAATCCAAAGATCATATCGATAAATTGATAGATAAAATATGAATAGAACTATAACAGTGAATATTGCATAGTGACCAACTTGCATATATGTATATATATGTTTTAAATTTCTCGGTAAAAATTACGATCCTACGTACAGTTGTACTCATAATCATTTCTAATGAATCAGGATCAATTGATGAAGAGATTCAACTTCGAATTGCCACATAGTGTCATCCTATTCTACTGTCAACATAGTTGGTTTTATTCATTAGAGCGTCGCAGTGGAAAATAAGGCAGTACACATCGAAACGAATTAATGATGAGCAAGCAAATGCTTAGCTAAAAGCGCGGCTGAATAGCTATTTCTCACCTAATTTTATGAAAAGTATGTAAAAAGAGAACAGGTACATAATTTCTAAACTAGTAATGTGTTTAGGAATTTCGAAGTAAACATTAGTACATTTAGAAGGAATTTACAAATTAAAATTAGGTGAAACTAGATTATATTCATCGTAATCACACGGATCAGTAATCGGATATTAAAATGACGAAGACAGTAAGAGCTATCTAGCTATTATAACAGTAAACATTTTCAAAATTAATTGATTACTTCAACACGACAAGAATTAAAAGTATACACACACAATATATACACTTACCAATTTTTGTACTGGCCATGGTTTTGTTATGGCTGAAACATCACAAGCTGTCATAAACATACAACCAAGTAATAAACGTTGTTCGCGATCATTTCGCCATAAATTTGTAGAATGATCATTAATTTCTTTCAAATTATGCAAAGTTTGTTGAAATTTCGGTAGTCTAGCAAAATATCTTGATAGATCCGTAGCCAATATAGCTTCTCTAATTAATTTCACAACAGTATCATATTCTGATCTGTTTAGATTGCATAAAAAGTTATTACCCTAGTAAAAAATCATGCAACAGGATTGTAATTACTGCAAATTTGTAAAACTATTTTCATTATGAATAGAACAATAGTCACTTTGGTATCTACTTCATAATAGAGTATTTGGATATAGATATTGCATTACATAACTATATCGTTACCTATTTTAGAAAGACGAAAGTCGGTTAATTATAAACAACATAGAATATGATCCAAATGGATCTATATCTGTGGTCATTTCCGAGTCATTTCTTCGGTCACCTAATAGGACCAAACAAACGGTCTACACATGTCAATAAACACGGTTCACGTAAACAACAGATAAATTTACGAAATCAAGTCATGTACTTAAATAGGCACATCTAGGGTCATTTAAACTTACTCTATAAATAACTGTCAAATTAGACAGTTGCTGAACATCTATAACACAACTTCTAGCTTCTTTAGTCAGTGGACGTTCAGAATATCACCAAATAATCTTGCCAAATTTACTTAGAACTTTATTCGTAACATTAAAGTTGCCTACTTGATGGTTACATCATATACACACAATAAGTCAAAAGCGTTTATGATCGAATTACAATCAAAAGACCACAATTCATAGCTATAAAAATACATAATGAAATAACTGAATGGTAGATAGAAACAAAACCATATGTTTTTCGAAAGGTTTGTTTCATTATTTAACCAACTGGCTTTGAATCAAATAATGGTCTGTCTTCACCTGTAATAGTCAAGTTATATATAACAATTTTATCGCCACATCTTATTGACAAATTGTCTATCATCACTAACTTCTATCGACGTCTACCACTGTTATTGATACGTTTACAGAGTTTAAGTCAATCTACATTCGATAGGGATTTAAACCATAATTTGGTTAAGCTCGTAACAGGATATTTATTTAATCTTTTCTTAATATTTTGTTGATAGTTATTAGCGGTCAGAATAAAAAATCACTATTTGATTTAATAAGTGACTAGCAGTTTCTTGTCTTAAATAAATGTAATGATCAGTTCGAATTGTGACTATATTTAAGCAACTTACAGATTTCCCTACAACTTACCCACTTATAACATTCCAACGTATGTAACGGTAACAGTGTGTACTCATTCTTTTATAATGGTACTCACTAGGAAACCGAGTATAAAAATGAATAATCTTATTGATTTGTATGTTTAAACAGTGCTAACAGAATAGCATTATCATGTACATAGCCCATTAATAAGTAAATAGATTATTCTTTTTTCGCCAACAACAAATTTACACACACAAAGGACTTTTAATGTGTCCTGCCAGTGACAGCTAGCAAGAATATGACTTAAGTTAGAAAAAAAATCTTTTGTTAAGAGCACTTAAATAAAACTTTGACTATCATGGAGATAATTTTCATAATCGATAGATGGGAAGCGACCGGATGAAATCCACGCGGTTTTACAGTATGGATCAGCCATAACCTTTAAAGCGAACCATTTCATAAGTGAAACATTAATCAACGGTATTGCATGATCGCTGACTTCTACCACGAATCGATGACAGGTTCGAACCATTGACTCGTTGGTCATAAAGGTATATTCCTCGCTACAAGGTTTGCATTTGCGAAGTTCTCCCTTGTGTGCAGTCGTCGGCAGATATTACTGACAAATATCATTATTACGGTTATACAGTACTCGTTGATCTCCAATAATATATCGGCTAATATCAATTTATAATGGGAAAGCATTTCCAGAAACATAATATCATAAAAATTAACATGGACTAGAAAAATTAATCGACTAACCTTTATGGTTAGTATCATCATGAACTGATTGAAATGGTGATGTTCAAGAACCGATGTAGAATATAGTTTAGCTAATGGAGACATTGTTTTAATTTGAAACTGATTATCTGTACCACGATGATCGATATCATGAGATAGACAAGCAGTTAACAACGCTAAACACTCAAGATCTGTAAATACTGACTGAAAATCACCTTTCTGAAAGGAAAAAAAGAGATAAGACAGTTCGATGCAGAGAAGGAAGGAGGTAGAAAACAGAGGAGAAACAAATGAGATGAAACAATGATTGACAATAATACCAAATAATAATAATAATTAGTATTGGTAGTAGTAATAATAGTAGTAGTAGTCTCGTAATTCATTAAATAAAATAAATTATACACGTATATATACGTCATATTTTATGCTTGAAATGAGCCTTTCTCCATTCTTTCCGTTTTGAGAAAAAAATAATTCAAACAGAAATTATGTTTTGACGCTAGAACAGACAGTCAATCACGCAAACTATGTATATATATATATATATATATATATATATATATATATATATATAAGGAAAGAAAAACAAACTTAACAACAAATATTTCTAGACATTGATCAGATTTTCTACCTTTTTTATTAAAAACCTTTTATTCAATAATTGGTATTAATTATATATATATATATATATATATATATATATATGAAAGTAGCGAGGGAGAAGTTGAAGTTAACATTGCATGGTTGATTAATGATTTAGATGTTGCTAATCAATTCCCTCATTATTCTTTTTCATTCTCTCATCTTTATGAAGATTGTCTTTAAATATAGACAGTGCGCGACTGATTTTATTTTGAAGTACCATTGAACAATGCTTCAGGCTAATTGGAATCAATAACACATTTGTGATAGCAGAATGTTTCAGACATATACACTTTACTTCTCCTCCATCCCTTTTTTCACAGTAAAACATCAGAATACCGTTCAGTAAACTGTAAAATAATTCAAAAGTTAATCAGTATTAATAAGGAAATACCACTCAATTCATACAAACTAAATTTATGTATCACTTAAGACTTACTGTTATCTATGGTTATGGTAGGTGTTAGGTGACATAACTAAGGAGATTTCATTGTGATTCTGAGAAAAATCTTTCAGTGCCTACTTCATATAAGAAGCAGTGGCTCAATTAATTCAATCTAAAATTAATTTTGATTTATTTTGTTTACAATTTATCTTAAATTATAACACGAAACAGGCTACAGCTTTTACTCACAAAAAATAGAAACTTAGATCAGCAGTGCAATCGAAAAAAGAAAAAAAACTCTTGTAAATGCACATAATACATAGGTAAGTTAAAAAATGATCTATTTAATCTAGACGCAATTACAAAAAGGAAAGTGTTATATGATACGGTGAACAATTGAAAAAAAGCATTCAATAATGTTGACATTTTAATGACTTAAATCTAAATTAAGTATAAGACAAAACTGATCAAAGACAAAATAAGAAATGAGAAATTTCAGTCACAAACTTCAAAAAAAATTATATTGGTCAAGAAAAAGATAACGGTATTGAAAACCTTTTTAATCCCTTACAAAATATTGACGAAGATTTACATAGAATGGATGGAATATGGCTGACAGTGGAATCTGTTCTATTTGAGGCTCGTCAGATGAGTATACTTGCATCCCTATGTTGATGTCCACTATACGACTTGAACCCAATACCTTTCGTTTTCAACCCCATCAGTATGAACAACCATTGCAAAATCAAACTTGTTGACGGAGATGTTCAAGAACATATTTCACTTTGAGGAGTAGTTCATATACTTTTGAAGACTTTCACAGAACCAGCTAGGTGACAAATATACATGGCTGTAAAAAAACCAATAGTACATATCAATAAAAGTTTTACTTAGTTCCCTTTTATAAGCAGGGATTAGCCGCTTGAATACAAAGTTGTCATTCATATCTTCATCATAGATTGAAACATTAGAAAAAACTGAATTTTCACGAATGATCATAGTATCTGACTTCCTGCCCTCTACACTGAGATGCAAATGATATTTATAGTCAATTTAGTTAAACAATCCATCTACGCATCGTCAGCAGGTGAATTTAATATTTTTTTCATAAAGATTCATCTTGACAATAATATACATAAATTCTATGAGCAAAACATTAAAATCCAGTATACCGATGTCACGAAAAATGTTTAAGTGAATATCTATGCTAATTAGCATTTAAAGAATTTAATGAGTAAATTTTATCTACTAGCCAACAATGCAAAATAAGCACATGTAGTGAAAATTTCATGAGATCATATACAGTCACAAATTGGCTAATGATATAAGTATTTATATGTTTGTGTGTCACGTAACTTAATCATTTTGCGACTCGGTGTAAGCTCATGCAATGATTCATATAGATTGATCGATTCCACAATCTATTCAATACCAACCTATCTTCGTACATCTCATTTCGTTGGTCTGATATACAAGTGTTTTAAATATATGTATCCTTAACACTTTCATGCTTGAATATTCTTGATATTACCGCTCTTAAAAACGTATCAAGTCGAAAGAATAGATTAGGATTTAAATGGGATCTATATTTTACCGGAGACACGGAATTCAATACATCTATCGAATCCGAAGAAAATGATCCAGCCTATCTTTAGTGCCCCGAGATCTGACTGCAGATAAGTCCTATGTATGATTGTTATTGCAAGATTGCTGTCAAAATATACATCCTGGCTACGTTCGTATTTAATTATCGACTTATATCGCATTAGTGAATATCGGAATTAAATAAGTCATATACGAGAATGGATTTCGAGTACGTGTATTTTATACAGTCACTAATACAGACAAACGATCGAAGAAACGAAGCAAAGAAAGCGAAGATAAAGGAGAGAAGTGAAATTGTAGTGAAGGAGAAGTATCAGTAAATTGCCTCAGACTTCATTGCTCCTTCGTTTCCACACCAATCATTCTATGTTCTCGTTCTCTTTCCTTCGATCTTCTTAACATTCTGCCACCAAACATTTCACTTTCGAATGGTGATATATACTAATTATATCTGTCGACATTGATAGCACACACCACAAGACGACGCGCAAGTGGGGAAGGCTTGTGAGCCAACTCAGATTGATCAAGCATGAATCGATATTTACAGTGAGACAAAAATAAGCTACAGACGTGATGAGTAAGATAAGAAGTGCACACGCATACGCTCATATAAAAACAGTCAAGGTTGATAAACGAATAACTAACAAGATCAAAATATGACTCAAGATGGATGAATAAATTGGCTTGTGCGGAAGCTACAATAAGCTATGTGAGCTTATCATAGCAACCGACACTACGTATCACAATTTTGATGCACAAATATAATACACCTAGTTCCAAAGTTGAAAAAGAAAACATAACGCGACCCCTCCCCACGGAGTCACATTCTGACGTTATCAGCCTACAGGCATCTATTCTTCAAAATCAACGTAACATACTACAAAACAACTATATTTAATAGTCTACTTTTCACTGTTTTTACACGAATGCATGGAACGATGAAGAAACATAAAGGGTTCTTTACAGTGGTTACATATAATAACTATGGTTGTGTTAAAGAAATTCATGGTAATGATACTGTTAATTAATTTTAGAAATGTTATTGAATATTGATGAGCAGTCGAGAAAACTTTCCTAACATTAGTTTATTTTTTAGAAGCGTTCATTGAAAAAATACCTTGACAATTTTCATGGAATATTTTGTCCGCTTCAGGTCTTTAAATGTTGTTAAATATAACTTCAATTATTATTGAGTACTGAGTTAAAGGGTATATAAAAACTCATTTTTACAATTACAGACAATATTGTCTGTTTGATTCCCTCAAGTGAATCCAAACAAAAAACTACAAGCTTTCATTAAACTTGAATAAAAGGTAATAGTGGAATCCAAAACACGTGTTTTATTTTGTTTATGACTCGTCAGTTGAATGTGACTGTATCCCAATGCTAATATTCAACACTAAGATTCAAGAATCATGTGCATTTAGCTTCAAAAATCAAAGTGTTATCCATTGAGCGATCAAAACTGGGAAATCTACATTAATAAATACATTTTTACATGAAAAGCTAACTTAGAGGATTAGGCAGAGCATCATCTATCAATAGATTATAGTTTTAATTAACTATAAATTAACAAAATGAAGTTTAACTTTATAGTTTTAAAGATGTCCAATATTTTATCAACTCACAAAACATTTATGACGTACATATATATTCAGTCAGTCAGTTAGTCAGCTACAACGTAGGACCAGGCACATATGTGCATCGGTCCAGGTTGCCATACCTCGTTAGCACAGCAAGATGAACACCGGATTCATAGGAGTGGTTAGGTCAAAGGCGGTAATATATAGGAGAAAGATTGCATATAAGGATATAGTATAGGAAGAAAGAATTAGTTCGTAGAAAGAAAGATATGAAGTGATTTTAATCTCTTAGTTTAAGGGAAGACAGGTAGTGTATACACCTACGCCATTGTGATCGATTCTGAGCCATATCACCAAGAGTCTCCAACCATTGGTTACGATAGTCACGCTGGCCCCAACCAAGTAGTCTGCATCTACCAACATGGCTCAGACTAGAAGTTAGTGACTTCAAGCACTGATGCCACGTTTTGGTTTGGCCGCCCCTAACTTTCTTCCGACCATCCCGAACAGCGGTTAACATTGCACGTCGTGGTAATCGGTGTTCCGGCATACGTAACACGTGGCCCAACCATCTCAGTCGATGAAGATTCACAACCTCATCAACTGATTTACCATCATTCCCTAATACCCTGCGTCTAACCTCACTATTACTTACCCGGTGATCCCAACAGACACCAGCAATATTTCTAAGGCATCTGTGGTCAAATACTAGTAGCTTACGAGTGTCTTCTACTCTTAATGGCCATGTTTCGCTGCCGTGAATTAAAACAGAACTCACTGCCGTGCAGTATACTCGTCCTTTTATTGATAGACAGATATCTCGCCTTCGCCATAGGTGACGTAAGTTGGCAAAAGCCAAACGAGCTTTTCGAATCTGTGCTGAAATTTCGTCAGACACCAACCCATTAAGTCTGATCGGACTTCCAAGATAAGTTAAGTTGTCAACGCGTTCGACTACTTCACTCCCTATCCTTAGTTCAGGTGTTGACGCAGACCAGTCCTGAAGCAGCAGCTTGCATTTAGAGGGAGAAAAGCGCATTCCAAACATCCTGGCATTGTTGCTCAGTGCTACCAGAAGACTCTGCATTTTATCAGCGTCTTCACCAAACAGGACTATGTCACCTGCGTATTCTAAGTCGATAAGTGGACCTACTGGTAAAAGATCAATACCCGAGAATTCAGTAGACGAGAATGTCATTTCTATCAATAGGTCTATGATGAAGTTAAACAAAAATGGAGAAAGTGGACAGCCTTGACGGACACCGCTTGAGGTTGCAAAAGTAGATGACAGTTCGCCATAAGCCCTGACTCGACTAGTAGTGTTCGAGTAAAGAGCCTTTACAAGGTTTATGTACTTCTGGGGTACGCCTTTCAATGACAGACACTGCCACAGAATCTCGCGGTCTACAGAGTCAAATGCTGCTGTTAAGTCAAGAAAGACCACCATTGTCGGACGTCGATAAGTATGCCTGCGTTCTAGATACATATATATTGTCCATAATCAAATATTATAAGTGGATGAATTACAATTAAATTAAAAGTTTACTTTGCTCATGACGTGAAAAATAAATACTGGTCATAAAAGAAAAGAACTTAAAAAAGAAAATGTTGAAAAGAAAAAGATTTTCCTTGCATATAAACGTCACTACTTTCATTTACAATGAATTGATAGAAATAAAATAAGTAATTGAAAGACATTATTTTCATTTTGATGAAAACAAAAATACACGCTTAGAACAATTAGATTATTAAATGTGTTGATAATCATCTAAAATCGTTTTGAAAAAAGATAATAATAAGTGATAATGTAATAATTCAAATTGTAAAGTTATTTGACATCATAAATTGACTTTAAATGAACGAACATTAAAGCAATTCATGATGAAACGACATGGTGATATGGAGTTATCAGGCTTTTAATAGCTGTCTAACTAAAGCCTTTCTTTAATGAGTACTAAAGATTGAAAAATATGCACAATCCTACTACTCTAATAATAAGTGATTGACTAACTAGCGAATAGGCTTGACAATAATTCTTGGAACTCTAATGAGAGATCGAAACGCATGCAGTTCAACAATGATGAAGGATTTCACCGATGATATTGTATGATTGCAGCGTAAAATCGTTCATGGGTTGAAGTTGAAAAAGTGGGAAATGGGATACCAACCAAGTGGTCTCAAGTTAACGCCCTGATTACGACAACTCAAATGCCTTAGGCTAGAACTCTAGTGATATCATAAGTGCTCACTACCATGAAATCAGATTCTAAGATGAAACAACTATTTGATGTTTCTTGGTTTTAAATGGTTGTTTAGCTGAAATCAGTCTATAGAGTATACTAACCACGGATTGAACAATATTCACAAACTTAATATATTAACTAACTTTTACTGATTAAAATACTAACATGATATAAATAGATAGAATTTGATGTGGCATAATAATATAGCAAAATAAGTCCATATGTAATTCAATTTAACACTAAACACAGATTTATTCTTATTAATATTTTAGCCCTTACCAATCCGAAAAATAAATCTTTTTCTGAAAGATTCATTGAGAACATCGAAAGAAAATTGATTTAAATAAACAGTTTTGTTGTTCATAAATATACTTTACGATATCCTTGTAAAGAGAGCAAAACACTCAAAATAACCAAACATAACGAACCAGCAATATTAAAAAAATTGTTTTGCCTGTGGGGAAAGATGTTTGCTCAGGAGAATTCTCGATAGATTAAGATGAAAATCTAAATTCGTGAAGAAATTCCATAAAATTGTGAATGAAATATTATAAGTATGTCCCAAACTGAAGATGATCAAATTCATACTGAGATAGTTAAACAACAATGATATTGAATAATGAAACATTAACTTGACTAAAGTTTGCTCCGATCAAGTGATTTACCTGTATCACCTATTTTGAAAGAAATGAAAATCCGATGTTTATTGAATAGTGAAAAGAACAAGATATAAAATAGGTAGAACTCGTCGTTCACAGCTTGATAGTTCCAAAAATATTTTTCTTAGTAATACACAAGTGATTGATCACCAAGTGATGATCAATGATATGTTTGCCTACTCCTTTAGTATTACTCGAATTCTATCGATCAAGTTGTAATGAGACCACTAATCTAAATGACTCGACAGAGCATGCAGAATTTTGAGATGTAAGGAAACCTTGGACCTGGGTACGGCCGCTAAGCAAGTAGCCTAATGATAACGTCTCAAACTGTGAAGCTGGATGACCCGTGTTTAAATCTTTCAGAAGGCATCAGTTTCATCAAGATTGCAAGTACATCTTAATGACAATTGCAAACTATATTACGGAACATATGTTTAGCTTTTTATGTTGACAACTACCAACAATAGGCTAAAGACAGTAAAGTCTTTATGTTTACATTAGCATTATAGACCTTGAGAAAATGGAAAAATGCAGCGCAGTTGAGCGCTACAGTTAACTACAATAGCGTTTTGAACGTTAAGATTATTATCGACTGAGCCAAGATGGAGTACAAACTTTCCTGAACGTCAAAAGTAACTTTAAACAATAGATCCACATTTATACTAACTAATCAAAGAATAGTTACTAATGTCATATTGTCTAGTTTTTAGTATTTATTGAGTGTTAATAATCGATTTGCAATGTGACCATTAATTTATGTGACTCAACATCATAGTTTAGTTTGTTTGATATCGGGTGATGCTAGAGTTAACCGATGCAAATTCTCCAATAATTAGTACAATAAGTTTCTGGTGATTACAAAACTTCATAGTTTATGACAGGAACTAAGCATATTTATTAAAAACGATGGAGTATTGCGCCTTTTAGGACAATTCCATATGTATTGGAACATTTTATTAAAGAAATTCTGTGGTCAGAAATTAATCAAAGCAATATGCAGGATAACAGCTTCTTTACAGAACTCTTTAGTCATTAAGCTTGCACCCTAGCTATCATCCAAGAGTGACGGTTGCTGGATATCGGTCGCCAGAGGCGTCTCGCACCAAAGCGTTGCGGCCTACGTGTCACACACTAAATAATATGATGAGCGTGCTACATCCAGATGCGAGTCATGGATTTAGATAGAGTGGAAGAGCTACAGACATGGCTCAAGCGATCACCATCCTCTCCGGGCAGACACAGTGGGGCCCATCGACGAGACTATCCCCCAAGACTCAACCATAAATACTGACGCCGCGTAGTGCTCTTGAGTTAACACTATATTGTGCCTCCCTATGGGAATCATGAAATTTCAAATCGAAGTTATGTTGTAGGGGATAAGAGCTTTTAAACACCACTATTCGGTCATTGTGTTCAAACCTTAGTTAACACAATTTCTATCTATCAAAATACCTACTTTTAAAATGTTTTTGTATGAAACTTTACATAGCCTACATGAAATATAACATTCATCGGTCGAATAACATTAGGTGTCTTTAGAAATTTTAAAGCAAATGGTTTAGTGGTTTGTTCACATTTGAACAACTAATATATATACATAATTTGAAGGTTACGTATCCGACTCCACAGATAATCGATGGTGAATACATTTAAAAACCATAAAACTAGTAGTGTGACGATTGCTTATAAACAACACTGAATGATAATTAATTAATATATAACAAATTTAATAGTTGAATTCATGAATCAATTTAAGCTAGACCACCATCGAAAACATGGAGTTACTGGACGGTCATTTCTTCTTAATATGGGACTCCTCAGCAGTGTGCACCGACGACCTCGCCCGTGGGACTCGAACCAGGGACCCATCGGCCTCGCACGCAAACGCCTAACTTCTAGGCCACGTAGCAGGCATCCAACAGTGTTAATGTTTAACTTCAATCAATACACGAAATTGCGCCACCTCTAACCATTGTCTTTAGTGAGTAACTGCCTCACAACAAACACGGTTGAACCCCACTGGTCACAGCTTCTCATGAGAACTTCAGGAAATATATCTTGAAGCCATTTACTAGTGAGCACATGATTATTATTAGCAGAATGGGAGTTTGATTGTAGTTCCAAGATTAAATCTTGTATACGTTTTTAAGTATGGAGTTTTTCGAAGATCCGATCATTATCAAAATATTATCAGGGATATAGATTTATATACTTGTCTTAGAGCCAGAAATTAAGTGTGAGTGCTAGTGATACTACATTGAAGTTGCTGAAGCTGATTTTGAACTGATAACTTTGAGATTGAAAGTTAAGCAAACTAACCATTGTGTTATCGCTTCACAAATACAAACTAGTTGTTAACGCATGTGTTACTCTAAAACTGAAATTAGTCCACTATGAAAATATTCCAAATAATATAATTTTTTTACTGAAAACGCTAATATGATACTTTATCTACGACAGAAAATTGGAAAAAAGATGGGAAAAGACGCCAGAGAAAAGTATTTTTGGAGAAAATGACCCACATATGAACATGTAAAAACAAGCATACAAACTTAAGACATCTGCTTGAATACATATAAAATATGCATACATACATAAAAACCGAACACATGTGTATAAATACATGTGTAAAGTAAATTTATGACATAGAGTATAAGAATAAGCATGTATTACTTACTAGTAATATGCAAAACATTGTCTGAGTCACATTGAATGCATGACGCCAATTGTGATAAGTAACTTCACGATAATTTTTACGTACAGATAATAGCCAACGAGCAAATGATAACTGATCGAAATGTATTGATTTCATAAAATTCATTTCCTGAAACATTCGTATACATGCTTTCAGAGTATCTTCATCTGATAATCTATATATTTCGTGTTTTTTTCAAATTAAAAAAGCAGTGAAACAATAAAAGTATTTTTTTAATAAATATAAGTTACAATATCTAATCTAAAAACCATTGAAATATTCTATTCTTAGAGATGGTAGTATTCATTGTGTTTATAATTCAGGAAGATATTAAAACAATGCGACAATACACTACAAAGTCGATTTTGGGAAAATTTCAAAATATGAAAATAATTTGAATAATGAACAATGGTAAATAAAAATTAATTAGAATTGTATTGGACGGTTTATACGTGCCGTACTCGCTTTAAGGCTCCTACATCTGCAGGTGGATCCCGTATAAGTTGGCGGATGCACCGTTATGAGAAATCTCAAATGGGAAGGAAACAATTATAAGATAAATCAGTTCTCAATGGTTCTCCAAGTAATGATAACTCGTAAAAAATATATATACTGAGTCTAACTTTGATTCAAAACTGGTTTCCTCCATGATAATGTAGATATACACAATTATTTTTGAGAGCATTTTCGAAATAAATTGAGAAGTCATTCTGGTAGGACTTAAACATAATCAGTAATTGATTAAAGACCGTTCAAGTTTGGTCAAAGAATATTACCACCTCAGTTTAAAAGCAATTACAAGACTAGTTATGAATCAGAAGATACTACAATTTGTTGGGTATTTAATCCCTTCATGAAGTATATACTTGTAAAAATGAGTGGATTATAAGATTATAGCTAACAACTAATTGACAAAGAACACAATGGAAATTGTTTTAAATACAGCATCAAAACTATCGAAAACGTTTAATTTATCCAATATTTGAATAACATTGAGGACATGAGCTTATTACATGTAAAACATTTCCTGAAGATTGATAGAAATCTGAAAGTAAAATAAAGTAAAGGGTCCTGACCAACGATCTTTACATAAACAGTTATAGCAGACATATATCACATTGACGAAGTTGAAAATGAATATCAGTCTTAATGTAGCGTAAATGCATATGAAACTCAGATTCGTAAAATCAAAACCATCGCATTCATACCTGTTTCACAAGAGAATGACTATCTGGACTCCGTAGGTCAGTAAATAACGTACTGGGTGTCTAAAACGTAAGGTACCGTGCAAGTTTTAGCGCGAACATCAACATGATAGGACGGCTGCATAAAAATATTTTTGTTTTCACGGTATACTACTACTGTAATATGATAACACGACCTCTGACTCAGATTATTCTAACACAAGACTGGATACTCGATCAAAACGCCATAAACGAACTGGATCACGTTGAACCAGATACACGATATATGACTAAATATAAATAATCAGAGGTTAGGCAAGGAAATACTTAATCTAGCACGCTTATAAACGGTTTACCCTCAATGGGCGCAGAATAGAAACCAAACATAGGAAAAAACCATATATTGAACAGTCAGAAAGATAAATGTTTGTCAGTTCACATCAGAATACAGACATCTCTAAATGATGAGCTGCCAGTCTATTTTACTTCACAGACTTTTTTTATCCCTTCCGAGGTTTTGCGTTATTGAAACAATTGATACGATGTCAATAGGCTTGTTCAATAAAAAAAGCCATGACCAGTGGAGCCCGATCAAAGTTGGAGGCGATATAGTTATCCGCCTCAGGCAATAGATCAAGGGTTGAGCAAGATCATAGACTGATTGAAGTTAGACATCAATACAGTTGGGTTCCGGCTCAGTGATCGCGAGGCTAAGCATTCGCGTAAAGGACGTAGGTTCGAGGTTTACGTGCGGGATCGCGGATACGCACAACTGACTCTCAGATTAGGACGAAACGGCCGTCCAGTGATTCCAAGTTTTCAATGGTGGTCTAACACTGATCGGTTCGTGATTTCAATGAAACTAAACAACCTCCATAATCCCTAAAAGATAGAAATAGTTCTGAAAAAAATGTATCAACAACCTACCGTACATCAGTAAATGAAAATTTATCTAAATGATAAAATCTCATAGTCGGTATTAGTGATGTAGCTAGGCGTTTAGCCTCAGATGTCGGCGCTGTAGCATGATATGACAGAACATCCATGATAACTTTTTGTTTTGCTGCACTCCTTATAGCTCTTTCATACAGTTGACTATTTGAAATACCCAAACCAACAAATAAAGCAAATGCTTCAAATAAAAATTCATCCGAATAAGTAAATATTCCAGACCAATTGTTAATTGATGAAGACATCGTAATGGGTTCTTTAGATGATAAATTATCATTTGATGAATATTGAATGCTATCTGTAACTGGTTTGAAATCAAATTGATGCTTAACTTGTTGACTGAAATTATTATTATTGATTCTCAAATCAACAGTTGATTTATTTGTTATTATGCATACAGCTAATACTTTACCATCGGAATGTTTAATTGGCATACAGAGAACAGAACGACTTCTCCAAACTGGATCTAAATCTTCTTCAAGCTAATTTATTGCATATGTTGTTTGGTATAGTTTTGAGAGAAGGAAAAGAGAAAACGACAACAGACGTGAGGAAAGACGGTTGTGTAATAGTAGAATTTTATATAATCCTATGAATGAGACTGTTGAATTTTATAGTTTACATTACGAACTGATTGTAGTTACACAAACTTTGAAAGCCAGCGTAGGATTTCTCAGCAGTACACATTTACGAACCAGCTACCTGAAGTCTTGCGCGTGAGCGCTTAACCTCTAGACCAACTCGTAATATTGTGTAGTCATCTTCTATTTCCATCAATGAGCAAGTGTCCCAGACCTGAAATGGTTGAAGTTTACCGGTCATCGATATCTAATGCTACCTGGTTTCCAATGGTTGCCTTTTGAGGTCAGTTTATGATGTCAACTACAAAAATCCAATAATCTCCACCCGTACACACCAACAAGTAGCCATATTGTCAAATAGTTTGATCTCTGTTTATCATCTTTCAAATAAATAAAAGTCAACAATTCTTCTCTCAATATTCCATTAAAAAGGAAAACAAACAAAACATTATGTTGCTCTCTTCTCTGTATATTTATATTACAAAAAACCAACTCAATCAACCAGGTCAAAATCAGATGATGATGGATAACCATTATCAGTCATCATCATTATATCTAGGACTAATATCAACTAGCAAGTTGAAGTAAACAAGGAGGAATAACCCTAACAAAGATTGGTATTTTTTTATGATAAAGACTTACCGTTTTGTCAATTTTCCTATATTCATTATTGTTATTGTTATTCGAACTAGAAGTGGTACCATTTATATTGACATGAAGAGACTAAATTAGGAAATAAAAAAACACAAATACACACATATACATGTACAAACATATTTATACAAATAAACAATAAAGCATAGAAGAGAATCGACAAACATAGAAATAAGTATACAGATACATATATTGGCGTAAGAGTGGAACTCGAAGCAGATTGACGATAAAAATGGAACTACAATTATTATCAATGTTATTATGCGACTGCGATGATGATATTCAGTGGACTACTACTACTGATTCCATTCCATCAATCATCAGCAGTGCGCCTTGATCAGATTTGTTGTTAAACCTTGACTGTAAAATGCAATGTAACTTGGATAGGGATAGAGAATCAAAACTGAGAGAGAATATATTATAGGGAGAACATGAAGCAATATAACTAGGAGAGAAAAAATTAATATGTTCATAATTGGAATGATTTGTGTTAATTATTGTTGTTTTCCTAATAATAGTAAGAATAACAGTAGTAACGACAGTGAAACTGGAGATTACTGCATTTGGACATTACACTACATAAAACATTGAACATTGATAGCATAAAAACTAAATACAACATCAGCAAATTTAAGTTTCATAACCGGTCACCGGATATAGAATTTTACGGTATGTTAACTGAGTAGAAAAATTGTTAAAGATTACCTGTTTTTGAAAAATCGATTGTATCATTTATTAGATTATATGGTAGTAGTAGTAATAGTATGTGTTTAGAGGTAACCTGCAGGAAGCTTTTGAATTAAGGTGGAATTCGTTAAAAATATGTATCTTCAATCTCGAACAAAAGAGATATTTTCAATATAGAGCAGATAGAGTGTAGCAAGCAGTGGAATCCAGGACGCGCGTTTCGTTCAATTCGGAAAGTGTATTTATTTATTTAAACACATAGACAATGGTACAAGGAAGCAACAAATATATATGCGCCGCACAAAGTAGTTATCATTCAATTTTGTGTATGGGCTGGAACACTGTCTGGGTACTGAAACCTAAACAGGTGATCTCCTTACAGGACCATTCCTGGAGCCTTTGACATAGAGGTTTAATCCACAAGACAGTGGAGTAACGTTAGGAGGTGTGATCTCATGGCGGCCGGTAACCAACGATAGGTCCATACACCATTTGCTTCCTCACGACTCTGGAACACATGTACAATAATAGTTTCGAATCAGGGTTTTCAAATTCCCCTCAGCGAATCCTCCATACTCACCAACCCAGTTAAATCGCCAGATATTTGCTTCTCGTTATCTCAATTTCGTAAGCAACACCCTCGTGGTGAGAATCACTTTTAAATTGTACACAATCTCAACACAAACATTACGCTTATTGATGACTAGCTCTGAGATCCATTTCGAGATATTCTAGTCAGTAGCTATGACAAAAGAAACAAGCCAACTTGAGAATAAAGTACCAGCTTATTCATGATATTAAACAAGTGTTGCACCGTATCACAAAAACAGTACAATTGAATATCTAAACTATTGGATTGTAAATAAATAGTTTGAAGGTATTATCCTCCCCATGAACTCTCATAATCCAACAACTAAATCCGGAAACTTAGTCGAAAAGTTTACCAGGGCTACACGGTTTAGGATAGTTCTCCAGTTGACCTCATTTACTGAGATGAAAACAACTATCAAGTTAAACATAATCTTCACAATATTATTTTATTAATAATTTCATTGTTCGTGTTGTTGACATTAACTGAGACAAAAGAAAACAATTACTCAAACTAAATGATGAAAATCGTTCAATGGAAGAAAAATTACAATTGTTTCAACTCACTTCACCAGTTTGTAATACGTGAATAGCCAAATCTAACTGAACAGGGAATCGAGCTTCGTCGATACTTTGGATGCAAGAAAAATATATAAATATATTTATATAAGTTATAACCTATGTATATTATTGTATTATTATTACCCATTAATTAATTAACTTGAGAAAACCAGTCAAGAAAAATTGGCAGTGATAAACAGTGAAAACTGGAATAAAGTCATCTATAATAAACTGTGAATTTTAGTTAAATATTCCTTATTCATGTAGAGGTGGCGCCAATCCATAAAGAACTGAACCGTATATTGGTAATTGCAGATTACATGGTTCATGTTTTTGCGATTATCTTGACCAATTACGTAGCACGGCTCATAATCGTTCACAATAACCCAAATCCCTCCTATCATAGTTCTCCCTTAGATTCTCGAGTTTCGAAATAATTTTTTTAAGTTTTATTCCGCAAATCGATTACTTCCACTTAAATGAAATCGTTTATGTTTCATCTCTTCTGTTGCTATTGCTAATTTTACTACTTCTACTACTCTGGCATTTGTCTTGATAGTTTCATCTCATTATGTTGATATAGTGTGGAAACCGGGACCGATGATGCACACATGAGACAGGTTCTACGTTGCGTATGACTAACTTTTCAAATCATACTTTTAATTGAGTTTCAGCCAGAGTATAATAAGATTTTCGAATAATACAATACACTTTAGGATAATAAAAAGACAATGTTTATATCCAATAATGAGGTTTACATCTAGATAGTAATTTAGTCGATTACTTTATAACCCATTGTTATTGAGTTGGTAAAATTATATCACAAAAATGTTAATCATAACATAAAAAGCAGATTGACGAGAGCTAAGATGGAATGGGTTCAACTAACAACATAAATAGAACAAAGAAACGCTAAAATTAAGAAGAAAAAACTAATCAACATAATTTGAACAAATATTCAAAACTTGACAATTGTTTCGTGCTAGTGTTTGACTCTTCAGCAGCGTAAATCCACAATCTCACCAAGAATCAAACCTAGGACGTTCAGATCTCGCGATTAGAGGGAATTAGTGACCAATAGATTTCAAATTTGTCGAATGTCAGGGAAGTACCCACCAAAAACAGTGAGAGATGGTCGTGAAATACAGTCAAATGACTGAAGTTAAGCATATAAACCACTAAATGCTGGTTCAGTGGCCTAAAAGTATAGCTCCCACTAGCGAGGATCAAAGGTCCTGGGTCTGAAACTCGGCGAGGCCGTGGATGTACACTCCTAAGAAAATCCATACTAGGACACAACAACTAGTCAATGCTTCCAGCCTTTTAATGATCGTTTCACCTAGGAGAATGAAATTTATGATTTACATCATGAAATGACCTAAGTAAGATGACCACCAAAAACCAGGAAGCATTTAATGATAGTCTCATCTCATTGTGAGAGCTCTCAACAGTCTCCATCCACGATCCCACTAGCGGTCGAACTCAGCATATCGCGTTAAGGTTAGTCTGTGATGGAAAATAAAAACATTCAATCATTTCCACAAACATCGTATACTAATAAACGAACACTTAGACGGTAAGGAATGAAATAAAAATGCATAAATACAGATAATCACCAAGTGATAACAGATTATCTAAGCTGTAAGTAGTACCTCTGACAGAAATCACTGAGTTTATTCTAACAGACTACTCAATAATAATTGTGATAACACACAAACATCAACCGAAAAAAATCAATCGTGAACTTAATTAGAAGAAAATCGAAAACAGCACAGGTTCATGAAAGATCAAAATCGAATTTATAGATACCAGAAAAGTAGTCAATTTAGAAAGAACATATTTATTAAATAAGGTCAAGTGCGTCATTATTATATGGAATTTTAGTACATTTGAGAAACAACAAAACCTCATTACCTTAGATGTTAGGGTTTATATTAATGAAATATTTGGGTGAATAAGAAATGAACTTAAAATGTTGACAATTCTAGCATATTTCTGGAATTCTAGTTTCAGTTTTGGTGTTGACACTTAAGGTTTTATTACTAGGCATTGCAAAATTTTAGGTGACACAGGAAAATAGGCTATCAACAATGGTAAGAAACAATGAACCGAAAATAAATAATTGATACAAAGTTGATAGTGACCGAAAGTGACCGACTATGAAGTCTGTAAGTAACCCGCAGGAGGCTAAGGCCTCCTCCAAAGTAATATAGATCCGGAATTTTCTTTTAAAAGTGTTGTCAAAAAATATGAAACTTTAATACTGTGTCCTACGTTCATCAAAGACACTTCAGGACTGTGATGAACAATCTTTTTGTAAATACCAATAAAAATCCACAAAAAATTCATCTTTCATTCCTTCCACTGAACAAGTTGCTGGCATATATATGAATAGGTATGTCAACAGCTTGAAATTCCTAACCCCACCAATCCTCATTAGATGGTTACAAAATACACGAGGAATGTGCTTCGAAAACACCTTTGATCGAATATTAGGAACTTATAAATATCCTTTATTCTTGATGGCCATTCTTCATATCCATGAGTGAGGTATAACAGAGCGAACTGCTGTGTAGTAAGCTCGTCCTTTGGGTGATAAACGGATATCTTACCTACATTGCAAGTGACGCAAGCTGGCAGAGGTTAATTGAACTGTCTGAATCTGTGAGGAAATTTCGTCAAACACCAGCCTTTCAGGGCTGATAAAATTCGCAGGATAAGTGAAGCAATCTATATGTTTAATTACCACCATTAAAATTTGGAAGGAATAGACAGTCGTTTTATCCCAGTACGGGGATCCTCAGCAATGTACACACACGACTCCGTATATGGAACTTGAGTCTAGCACCTTCGGTTTCACGTGCGAACCAGCACTATCAACTTATAGTCTTTCATTTTGCTGGTGTATACTTTCATTTTGTTCATTGCACTAATATTTTATTCAATAGTTTGATTTTACAAAAAACTGTGAAACCAATCATACAAAAGCTGAATAAATTAAAATTTCATTCAAACAGAATGTTTCTATTCTAATAATGATAATCTATTTTACTACAACAGGTTTATTATGAAGATTATTACGTTTTAAATTTAACTTTCGTGGTGAACTAATATCAGTTGGAAAATTGTTGAGACCTAGGGAGTATTGGACAGTTTCCTCATAATTCAATTTTCAAAGATGTGCCTAAATTAGAAATGCGGACCGCCACATTTGGAGTCAGTGGTCTAAATATATTTTGTTGACACAGGGTTTTAATAAAGTGTACCAGGTTAGCATGAAACAGCTATTCAATCTTGTAGGGTAGTGGTTCAAAGGAGTCGACAGAAAACTCTGCAGACGTAGGTTTTGTGTTATTTGGCGTGTCATCCAGCATGATAGTCAGAAACGTTATCTAGGTATCTAGGCAGGGACTGACCTGTAGGACTGAGATGTACTTACAATCGGTCGATTTCTGGGTAGATACTAATGTCATATATATGAGGTCTACCTTAGTGCATGTGATGTCAAGTCATCTAGAGTAGTAGGGAATTGCAACCTAATCGATAGGATCCCGTTAGCACTATGAAGGACCTGACATACACAACATTAGTCACTACCCACAAATCAATCATTTGTAAACTATCCAGTCTTTTCGTCTTTACGAACCGAATTAGCAGTAGCCCTATAATACTTTCCATATCAATGCCTGAAATCGGTAGATAACGGTGATGTCATGAGAATTTATAAGCTATACACGTCAACTTACCAATCTAAAATTAAACAGCTGTACATTTTTATGACGAGAAATTAATTTTTTTATCATAAGATTAACTGAATGCACACAAACATTACTGTTATCGAAGTTTACTCTGGAAAAATCGGAACGGAATGATGAATTTCTTAACAGATAACAAGTAATGAGAGTAAATATGAATATTTTCTAGCTTTCCTTAGTAGTACAAGGAAGCTATAGTACAGTATAGTTTGTGAGACGAAAAAAATAAAATAGTGTATTGTTTTCTATAGTTCATAATAAGGTCACAATAGGCATATGATTAGTATAAGAGAGAATCTTCCAATAAATCAATGGTAAGATGAGAAATTTATGAAGCCCCCAAATGCCCTGGTATGGCCGAGAGTGGGGTGGGCCCACCCTCCCTCTCGAAATGCTCTCACACGGCCAAGCGTATGCAGCCTCTGCCAGGGAAGTCCTACTCACTGTGTTCTCGTGGCGGGGGTGTTGTTTACGAAAATGAGAGGACGAAAAGCGAATGTCCGGCGCTTTATCCGGATTCCAAACCAATGGTTCATATGGGCTCCAGTATCCTGAAGGGGCAAATGGCGTATGAACCAATCATTGGTCACCGGCTACAATGGGACTGCATCTCCTCACGATGCCCCACTGCCTTGTGGGTCAGACCTTTAGGTCAAAGGCTCGGGGTGTGGCCTCCTAAGAAAACCACCTGTTTCGGTCTGGGCACCGGGGCAGTATCACAGCCCACACACACAAATATGATGAAATTATGAAATTTATGAATAGGAACAACGGCGTGAATAGTAATAATAATAATGGGAATAATACAAACCATGATGTATAATCCATCAACCACAACAATAAATTGGGACAAACGAGAATTTTCCCCCGTATACAACCTCAATAGGCTTCGTTTCTCAGAAAAGGGTGTATATGACCTTAAACTATGAATATTGTGATATATACAGATATAGGCTGATTGATAAATATCTCGACCAAAAAGTATGTACTACTTAACATATAAATCATCACTCTCTCACAAACATGTATATATATATATATATATACACTTCAGATTTATACTATTCTCTATGACGAACTAAAAGAAATCAAGTTAAATGAATGAAAAAGAGAATTGGACACATACGCATCAACAAAATAAACTCATTTGTTTGTTGTTATTTTATTCTAGAATTTAGGAGAGAAAGAAAGAAGAGAGAGTTAGCAAAAGTGTTTGTTTATGCAATAGAGTGTACTTTTATGCTGTTCCTCCTTTTATTTATTATTTCTTATCTCATTTATGAAGGCTAAAATTATCACTGTTTATAAAAAAGGG